CTTTGGTATAGCCATGCCCTAATCCAGCTTAATATAGCACCCCCAATACCATGAGACTCTATTTTTTTAATCAGTCTTTCATGTGGCACTGTATCAAAAGCTTTGCTAAAGTCAAGGTATACAACATCGCAATCCTTACCACTATCAACTGCCTCAACAATGCTAGAATAAAAAGATAACAAATTTGTTAAACATGAACGGCCATTTATAAAACCATGTTGCGACTCAATTATTAATTTATGTTTTTCAAGATGAAGACGAATTTTATTTGCTATTATAGATTCGAGTAACTTTCCCACAATAGACGTTAGGCTAATTGGTCGATAGTTAGACGCAAGTGATCTATCTCCTTTCTTAAAAACTGGTATCACATTAGCAACTTTCCAAAACTCTGGCACTCTGCCTGACTCTATTGATTTATTAAATATGGTTGACAGTGGGTCACAAAGCTCCTCTTTGCATTCTTTAAGCACCCTAGCAAACACTTCATCCGGCCCTGGGGATTTGTTTGGTTTGAGTTTTACTATTTGTTTAAGAACATCCTCCCTGGTAACTGCTAAACTCGTCAACCTGTCCTCGTCCCCACCCACATAGACTTGTTCGGCTGAAGGCATATTGTTAAGTTCTTCTTTAGTAAATACAGATACAAAATATTTATTAAAAATACTACTCATCTCTTCATCACTATCTGTTATTTGACCTGTCTCAGTTTTTAATGGACCTATCCTTTCCCTAGTCTTAGTACGATATAACTGAAAAAACCCTTTAAATATATAACACTTTATACATACAACACCACCAGATATACAACACCACCAGACATACTCACAACACCACCAGGCATACTCACAACACCACCAGACATATTCACAACACCACCAGACATACTCACAACACCAACAGACATACTCACAACACCACCCGATATACCCACAACACCACCAGGCATACTCACAACACCACTAGACATACTCACAACACCACTAGACATACTCACAACACCACCAGACATACTCCATACTCACAACACCACCAGACATACTCACAACACCACCAGACATACTCACAACACCACCAGATATACTCACAACACCACCAGACATACCACATGACAAGTTGAGTGAGAGGCGGGGCTGAGCGTGGAGTCAGCCACACATCAGTGTGGCAGTGTGTTTGTGGACCACCCTAGTAAAGTTCCTTCACTAAGAACATAAGAACATAAGAACAAAGGCAACTGCAGAAGGCCTGTTGGCCCATACGAGGCAGCTCCAATTTTAACCACCCAATCCCACTCATATACTTGTCCAACCCGCGCTTGAAACAATCGAGGGACACCACCTCCACCACGTTACGCGGCAATTGGTTCCACAAATCAACAACCCTGTTACTGAACCAGTATTTACCCAAGTCTTTCCTAAATCTAAACTTATCCAATTTATACCCATTGTTTCGTGTTCTGTCTTGTGTTGATACTTTTAATACCCTATTAATATCCCCTTTGTTATGTCCATTTACCCGCTTGTAAACCTCTATCATGTCGCCCCTAACTCTTCGCCTTTCCAGTGAATGCAACTTAAGCTTTGTTAATCTTTCTTCATATGAAAGATTTCTAATTTGGGGAATTAACTTAGTCATCCTACGCTGGACACGTTCAAGTGAATTTATATCCATTCTATAATATGGCGACCAAAACTGAACTGCATAATCTAAATGGGGCCTAACTAGAGCAAGATATAGCTTGAGAACCACACCAGGTGTCTTGTTACTAACGCTGCGATTAATAAATCCAAGTGTCCGATTTGCCTTATTACGAACATTTATGCATTGATCCTTTTGTTTTAAATTCTTACTAATCATAACTCCCAGATCCCTTTCGCAATCCGACTTCGCAATCTCAACACCATCTACCTCGTATCTTGTAACTCTATCATCATTACCTAACCTCAGAACTTTACATTTATCAGCATTAAACTGCATCTGCCAATCCTTTGACCATTTCAAAACCCTATCTAGATCAACTTGAAGTGATAGTGAGTCCTCCTCCGAATTAATTTCCCTACCGATTTTCGTATCATCGGCAAATTTGCAAATGTTGCTACTCAAACCTGAATCTAAATCATTTATATATATTATAAACAACAGAGGTCCCAGGACAGAGCCTTGAGGCACTCCACTTACAACATTTTCCCACTCTGACTTGATTCCATTTATACTAACTCTCTGTTTCCTTTGGTATAGCCTAATATAGCACCCCCAATACCATGAGACTCTTATCTTTTTAATCAGTCTTTCATGTGGCACTGTATCAAAAGCTTTGCTATCTCTGACTTGCTTGATGCACCTGACTCAGCTTCACTCTCAGTGAGGGCAGACAACTCCCTTGAGGAGAGAATTATGCCCCCCCCAGTATGTAACTCTTGCCCCCAGTATGTAACTCTTGCCCCCAGTATGTAACTCTTGCCCCCAGTATGTAACTCTTGCCCCCAGTATGTAACTCTTGCCCCCAGTATGTAACTCTTGCCCCCTGAAAGTAACTATTGCCCCCAGAATGTAACTATTGCCCCCAGAATGTAACTATTGCCCGCAGAATGTAACTATTGCCCCCAGAATGTAACTATTGCCCCCAGAATGTAACTATTGCCCCCAGAATGTAACTATTGCCCTCAGAATGTAACTATTGCCCCCAGAATGTAACTATTGCCCCCAGAATGTAACTATTGCCCCCAGAATGTAACTATTGCCCCCGGAATGTAACTATTGCCCTCAGAATGTAACTATTGCCCCCAGAATGTAACTATTGCCCCCAGAATGTAACTATTGCCCCCAGAATGTAACTATTGCCCCCAGAATGTAACTCTTGCCTCCAGTATGTAACTCTTGCCCCCTGAAAGTAACTATTGGCCCCAGAATGTAACTATTGCCCCAGAATGTAACTATTGCCCCCCAGAATGTTACTATTGCCCCCAGAATGTAACTATTGCCCCCAGAATGTAACTATTGCCCCCAGTATGTAACTATTGCCCCCAGTATGTAACTATTGCCCCCAGAATGTAACTATTGCCCCCAGAATGTAACTATTGCCCCCAGAATGTAACTATTGCCCCCAGAATGTAACTATTGCCCCCAGAATGTAACTATTGCCACCAGAATGTAACTATTGCCCCCAGAATGTAACTATTGCCCCCAGAATGTAACTATTGCCCCAGTATGTAACTATTGCCCCCAGAATGTAACTATTGCCCCCAGAATGTAACTATTGCCCCCAGGATGTAACTATTGCCCCCAGAATGTAACTATTGCCCCCAGAATGTAACTATTGCCCCCAGAATGATACTATTGCCCCCAGAATGTAACTATTGCCCCCAGAATGTAACTATTGCCCCCAAAATGTAACTATTGCCCCCAGAATGTAACTATTGCCCCCAGTATGTAACTATTGCCCCCAGAATGTAACTATTGCCCCCAGTATGTAACTATTGCCCCCAGTATGTAACTATTGCCCCCAGAATGTAACTATTGCCCCCAGTATGTAACTATTGCCCCCAGTATGTAACTATTGCCCCCAGTATGTAACTATTGCCCCCAGTATGTAACTATTGCCCCCAGTATGTAACTATTGCCCCCAGAATGTAACTATTGCCCCCAGAATGTAACTATTGCCCCCAGAATGTAACTATTGCCCCCAGTATGTAACTATTGCCCCCAGAATGTAACTATTGCCCCCAGAATGTAACTATTGCCCCCAGAATGTAACTATTGCCCCCAGTATGTAACTATTGCCCTATCTACCGTCTTGTTACTATGACACAAGCTGAAACACAGTTAATATGTAAGAGATCTTGAGATTATTTCGGGGCTTAGCGTCCCCGCGGCCCGGTCCTAGACCAGGCCTCCTTTTTGTTAACACACCCCCAGGAAGCAGCCCGTAACAGCTCTCTAAATCTCAGGTACCTATTTACTGCTAGATAACAGGGGCATCAGGGTGAAAGAAACATTTTGCTCATTTGTCTCTGCTTCCACCGGGGATCGAACCCGGAACCTCAGGACTATGAATCTGAGGCGTTGGCCACCCAGTTATCAGGCGCCCTAAGATACCTCTACTAATGTTGATATGCACCTATTACTGAACGAAACTGAGGACACGATCTAGCATGAGACTCACTTTTTGTTATTTGGAGTCCATGCGGCCTGACGAGAGGCAACTTACACTTTTGATATACTATGGCCACAATCTACCAAATGTTAGTAAGACTTATCCTAATTATGTTCGTCGAGCCGAGTGCCTGATTGATGAGGACGTCGCTCCAGCTCTTTGACATCCGCTGCAGCAAGGATGACACTAATACGGGCTGGTGTAATACGCAGACTCCCAGACATTGCTTGCTGCCAGAAATATGGCTGCCGTCGCTCTCCCCCTCCTTCCCTCTCGGGTACACGCATGCGCAATAGCTCCCAGTAGGGGCCCCGAGCATAAATTATATTATTTATTTAATGTTAAATATGGAAGGAAGTGGGTATGACGACTATTGACGTCTTAAATAAATGTGTTGTGCGATAATATATTTTCTTGTAGTGCAAGTCAGTTAATTTAGACCGCGCAAGTAATGGAGAAAGATTTAGATGGAAATTAATTTGTATTATAAAATTGTTCACTGGAACAGGTAATCGTAGCTGAAATAATCATTTCCAGTAAACGATAATATACTAAATAAAGTAAACTTATTAATAACGATTATCCCTAATAAAGGGAGGTAAATAACTGGACTCTATTTGATCCACAGATATATGGAAAATTATTGCTGAGGCGGGCATGCTAGCACGACGCGCCATAGATACTAGGAAACTTCTGGCGAAATTGCATCGCAATAGGATATGAATTGATATTTGTGTACTACTGATTAGTAGTGTTAGTAAAACATAATTGTCAGCACTAAGATGATATATCAGAGTGCTAAAATAAGATATTAGTGTTGAATATTACCAACAACCAGTGCTTCTAGATGTAAACAGGACCAGCTGGATATTACCAGTGCCTCTAGATGTGAACAGGACCAGCTGGATATTACCAGTGCCCCTAGATGTAAACAGGACCAGCTGGATATTACCAGTGCCCCTAGATGTAAACAGGACCAGCTGGATATTACCAGTGCCCCTAGATGTAAACAGGACCAGCTGGATATAACTAGTGCCTCTAGATGTGAACAGGACCAGCTGGATATTACCAGTGCCCCTAGATGTAAACAGGACCAGCTGGATATTACCAGTGCCCCTAGATGTAAACAGGACCACCGGGATATTACCAGTGCCCCGAGATGTAAACAGGACCAGCTGGATATTACCAGTGCCCCTAGATGTAAACAGGACCACCGGGATATTACCAGTGCCCCTAGATGTAAACAGGACCAGCTGGATATTACCAGTGCCCCTAGATGTAAACAGGACCAGCTGGATATTACCAGTGCCCCTAGATGTAAACAGGACCAGCTGGATATTACCAGTGCCCCTAGATGTAAACAGGACCAGCTGGATATTACCAGTGCCCCTAGATGTAAACAGGACCAGCTGGATATTACCAGTGCCCCTAGATGTAAACAGGACCAGCTGGATATTACCAGTGCCCCTAGATGTAAACAGGACCACCAGGATATTACCAGTGCCCCTAGATGTAAACAGGACCACCGGGATATTACCAGTGCCCCTAGATGTAAACAGGACCAGCTGGATATTACCAGTGCCCCTAGATGTAAACAGGACCAGCTGGATATTACCAGTGCCCCTAGATGTAAACAGGACCAGCTGGATATTACCAGTGCCCCTAGATGTAAACAGGACCACCGGGATATTACCAGTGCCCCTAGATGTAAACAGGACCAGCTGGATATTACCAGTGCCCCTAGATGTAAACAGGACCACCGGGATATTACCAGTGCCCCTAGATGTAAACAGGACCACCGGGATATTACCAGTGCCCCTAGATGTTAACAGGACCACCTGGATATTACCAGTGCCCCGAGATGTTAACAGGACCACCTGGATATTACCAGTGCCCCTAGATGTAAACAGGACCACCGGGATATTACCAGTGCCCCTAGATGTAAACAGGACCAGCTGGATATTACCAGTGCCCCTAGATGTAAACAGGACCAGCTGGATATTACCAGTGCCCCTAGATGTAAACAGGACCAGCTGGATATTACCAGTGCCCCTAGATGTTAACAGGACCACCTGGATATTACCAGTGCCCCGAGATGTTAACAGGACCACCAGGATATTACCAGTGCCCCTAGATGTAAACAGGACCACCGGGATATTACCAGTGCCCCTAGATGTAAACAGGACCAGCTGGATATTACCAGTGCCCCTAGATGTAAACAGGACCAGCTGGATATTACCAGTGCCCCTAGATGTAAACAGGACCAGCTGGATATTACCAGTGCCCCTAGATGTAAACAGGACCACCGGGATATTACCAGTGCCCCTAGATGTAAACAGGACCAGCTGGATATTACCAGTGCCCCTAGATGTAAACAGGACCACCGGGATATTACCAGTGCCCCTAGATGTAAACAGGACCACCGGGATATTACCAGTGCCCCGAGATGTTAACAGGACCACCGGGATATTCCCAAATGTTTCATTAACTGCTTTTACCCCTTATATTTCCCGCGTGTTGCAGGTGTTTTTGCGTCAAGAAAAGTTCTCGCCAGTTACTGGAGGAAACAAAGGCGTAGAGCTGCAAATAGAGTTGTGTTGAGTTTTACAAAGTGATTAAAAAAAGCTGGAGCGGGACGCTCTGTGACGTGGACATTTTACTGTTAAAACTCTTTACAACCAGAACAGGTAATTAATTGTTTTTAACTGTTGTGTAAAACGTAACGATTAATCAACAACAAAAATGATATTAAAACTGTTCAACAGTTAAAACAGTTAAAACTGTTTTGTTTCCTAAGTGTAAACTGCAGTGTGGAAGCCTCCATTCCTTTCCATGAGTGTTACATCCAGAAAGGGCAGCTTCCAATCCTTCTCCATCTCGTAAGTGAAACTCAACACAGAATTCTGCTCGAATGCCTCCTTCAGCTGCTGCAGATGTCTGTCATCAGGTACCTGCGTAAAAATGTCGTCAACATACCTGCAGTATATGGCCGGTTTGAAGTCCATGTCAACTAAGACCCTCTGCTCTATGGTACCCATGTAGAAGTTCGCCAACAGGACACCTAGGGTAGAACCCATGGCGACCCCATCTACTTGCTTATACATGTGCCCATCTGGGCTCAAGAAGGGTGCCTCTTAAGTGCAGGCTTGGAGTAGTTTCCTCAGTATGTTTTTTGGTATGTCAAGAGGAGTGGAAGCCGGGTCACGATACACTATATATACATATATATATATATATATATATATATATATATATATATATATATATATATATATATATATATATATATATATATATATATATATATATATATATATATATATGTCGTACCTAGTAGCCAGAACGCACTTCTCAGCCTACTGTGCAAGGGCCGATTTGCCTAATAAGCCAAGTTTTCAGGAATTAATAGTTTTTCGACTACCTAACCTACCTAACCTAACCTAACCTAACTTTTTCTGCTACCTAACCTAACCTAACCTATAAAGATAGGTTAGGTTAGGTTA